AATAACTCAACTGTAAAGCACCTGTTGGTGTGAAAGTTAACACAAGAAAATGGGGCTTTGACCACTGTTGGAGTTAGGAGGGAAGGGCCTTATCCAGTCTGCCACATTGGAGATATTAAGGAAGGCGGACATAAGAATAAGACAATTTACAATAGATCATATGTTAAATTTCAGCTTTTATTTTGCCTCAGTATCATCAGTAACACACACAGCACAAATTTCCAAATAAACAAGTAAACAAATGCCAGACGAATGTGAAGAACGTCCTCCATCTACAACCCCACCTCTTGGTGAGCAACATGACTCTCCAGTGTATCAACGACGGCTGCAGTTCACAGTTTACCTGGTGGAAGGTGGAACAGGACCTGCGGCTCAGCTCTTCCCCAAAGACGAAGCAGACTGGAATGCCAGGTCCCCATGATCCCGGGATCCCACGCCCACCACTTCTAGAATTCCAGTATCTTTCCAATAAGGACACTAGGACACTAAAAAATGAAATGAAATGAAATGACAAGGTGTTGAAACCTAATTTTCCAACGTCAACAGGTGAAAGCGTCAAGAATGAAGTAAAAGGAAACAAGCGGCTTTTTCAGTTGAAGTTTTTTACTGATACAGTACTTTTTCCTCCTTCCTTTTGGAAGTTCTAAAGAGCTCACAAGAAAGCTTCTCCTACTGGAAACTTACGTCCTCGTGTATTAAGTATTGTCTCTTTTTTCCCCCCATTTTGCGTACAAATGAAAGCAGCAAGACCCCAAATCTCATGGTGGAGTTTCAGATTCAACGGGGTTAAAACTCATCTGTTTCCACTGCCTTTTTCATTTTATCTTATGCAGATGCTCCCAGATTTCTCGGCCTCAGTTCCTTCCGTGGTTATTTTTAAATACTGGGCTTACTATAATTAATTCCAAAGCCTTTTATTATTGCCTCTGTTGGAGAGAAAAATGCTAAAAGCCACTTTTTCCAAAGTTCTCTTACCCAGTTCCTGATGAAGGGGAACTGAAAACGTTTCCTGGAGGAGAAAGGAAACCGAAACGCTGCCTGGGTATAAAAGACTGGCTGGAATGCCCAGATGCGCCCGGCCCGCCTGCCCCGGGGCTCCATTGACGCGGGAGCTCGCGCCGCTCCGGG